GGGGATCTCCCAAACATTAGTGCACATGAATACTAGTTTGACAATTATGCAAAACCGCCAGGTAATATAATGTTCCTTATTGCTTAGACCAACACCACTATTAAAACTGAACTCCAGAATGAGGCCAATGACCTGAGATTCATCCAGACTCAGATCAACATCACCATCAATCCTCTGATGGTACGTTTACTCAGAATGAGAGACATGATACTGAAACTGAATTTAGCTTGAATGCTACCCTTATTGTGTATGTATAGACACAAAGCACACTTTTTTACAGCATGTTGTTTTTACAGGAGCAGCTGAAGTCTACAGTTGAGCGTTTAAGTGTCCAGTCATCACAAGTCAATGTAAGTTAACACTGGAATGTTTAGAGGTCTAAGAAAGCACCTGATGATTTCTTTTTCAGCACTCAGTATTTTAGGCCAGTCTAAAATACTGAGCACTTTTGGCAGCCTAATGAATTTTGTGCATAGGCAATAGTTATAAAAATTACATTTCTAAATGCAACACTTTTCCTCCTCAATCCATGCTTTAGGGTACTGTGGAGGATGTTCTACAGAAAGTGAGCTATGCTCAGGATTTTTTGAACAACAACACAACACAAATAGTGAAATCGGTAAGTGTGCTGTTGATTATGCAGTTAGATGATGGCTGTATTTGGTCAGATTAAACAAGATGGTCGTTTGACTTAACTTTCCTTAAACTCACTCCCAACAGTCACAATATTAAGATTATTGATTGAGTGATATAAAAGAACGCTATTCTTTCATAGTGCTGGGCCATTAAGATAAAATTCAACATCATGATTCAATATTATTATATGGCCAAAAGTGTTTGGACAACTGGCTATCACACCTAAATGAGCTTATTGGACATTCCCATTCCCAAACCATGGGCATTTAATATGGAGTTGCCCTCTCTCTATGTGCCTATGACAGCCTCCACTTTTCTGGGAAGGCTTTTTACAAGATTTTGAAGTGTGTCTGTGTGCCCATTCAATCAGAAGAGCAACAATGTTTTCACTGCTTCAGAGTCCAGTGGGGGTATGCTTTACACTACTCAAGCCGTCGCTTGGCATAGTGCATAGTGAACTTGTGTGCAGCTGCTCGGCCATGGAAACCCATTTCATGATGCACATTCATTGAGCTGATGCTGCTTCCAGAGGCAGTTTGGAATTGTGTAGTGACTGATGCAACAGAGAATAGGCGGGTTGTATGCACTATGTGCCTCAGCGCACTGCGGCCTGCTCTGCAGGTTTGCGTGGTCTACCACTTCATGGCTGAGCTGTTGTTGCTCCTAGATGCTTCGCAGCAGCAGCACTTACAGTTGACCAGGGCAGATCTGTCAGGGAACAAATTTCTTGAACTGATTTATCAGTGAGCTCTTCAGCACGATCCATTCTACTGCCAGTGTTTGTCTATGGTGATTGCATGGCTGTGTGCTTGATTTTATAATGTAAGCAATTGGTGTGGCTGAAACACTTGGAATCAACAATTAGGAGGGGTTGTCCACATACTTTTGGCCATACCGTGTATTTATTTTATTCAATATTTTCCAATGGTATCACAATATCAGATGATATTTATGTTTAAATTAATAGTAATAATTAAGGCCCAATGCTTTGTACTAAATTATTGTATTTTATATTGTAACATTGTACATGTTAACCAAACAGAAACCAAATTATCAGAAAGCAAACTATTTATTCAGCTTTTTATGTAATTTGAGCTGTTCTTTCAAGCAATCTGAAAATATTAAATATTTTGCTAACTAAGTTTTTTTTTTGTCAGTACTCTGTAAACTAAAAATCAGTATTATTCTGACACCAATACTGGTATATGATTAGTTGGTTAGGTAGTAACCGTGATTCCTGTAAAACATTAAACCACTAAACATTCTTCTACAGAAAACAAGAGAATTTATAGATAGTCAGATGGGAATCCTCACAAAATTTGCTGAGTGGGCAAACTACACGGTGAGTTTTAACTTTTCATTTCTAAGTCTCCAAAATTCTGACAGACTTTTGTGTGTTTATAAATACAGTGTACATTGTGTGAGTGTGGCATTGTGGTGCACTGTGGCATGCCTCCAGTCTAAATGGACTATTTTATTGTACTCTGATCACAGATCACTGAGCAGGTGGGTCGCTGTGGGTTAGTGGCTGCAGCTGTCGACACAGCAGAGAATTTGGTCTGCACAAAGCTGGTAGACTCTGTGGTAAGACTATGTTGCTCTTAGTTCATTTAGGCCTTACATGGGACTGCTGTAGTATACACCCACTTTATTGAATGTACACATGATGCTTCTCCTTTGTGTCCAGAATGCCTTTTGGTTCAGTTTGGGCTGGTGCATGGTCTTCCTCATTCCCAGCATTATCTTCTCAGTCAAGCTGGCCAAGTTCTACCGTCGGATGAAGCACACGGATGTGTATGAGTGAGTTGTAGCCCCTGCTGGATGCAAAAGAGAGTGACATGTCCTATCTGTTTCATCAGCTCACTACACTTCAGATCCAGCTTGTAGAAAATACATTATGTTTGCTTATTAGCACAACTCTCACAATGCTCGTCTTCTTCTCTTTAAAGGAACCGAATAATGATGCACCCCATTCCGAGAGCCAATATGAAATCTTACTGAAAGGGAGAAGAAAAACTACTGTTTGTTCATTGTTGCCATACAAAAGGCCTTCAGCACAGAATTCTCACTTCTGATTTGACTGAGGAGTGACATTGACATGCACTGGATGTTCAGCTATACAAATCAAGAGACTGAGAGTTCAGCTATTAAATGTAAAAGGAAAATGCATGGCCTTTGGATTGAGCGCATTCCAGACGTGACTTAAAGATTTTACTATGAGTGGTATCACCAGAGGCGCCACTATGAGTGTGGAAATCGTAAAACCATGCAGCAACCATTTGAGATACTTTGGGTTCTTGAGTTTGATTTCTTTTGTCTTCCATGCAGCATTTAATTTTCATTGTCATTTTTTTAGAATGTATATGTTGCTGATGTTTTATTTTTAACCCATACTTTAATTTAATTAGGAACCAGCGTGAATGCACTTTATGTGGTCCTCCATAAGGTCAAACCTTATATGTCATCATTTCAGGAAATGTACTTTGTCTATTAAAGTGTGCTACTGACAGTGTATTCACCTGTGTTTTTTCCTCTCATCCAGGCAGTCAATAAAACATTTCTGAGGCTGTGCTCTTAAATTAGAAACACGATCAATAAAGGGGAGACAGCAATAGCTGGTAAAAAACAACAGCTTTCACAGACTGTGGCTTTAGCTCACTGGAGTTAAGTGGGGTGGAATTTGACCTCTGAGCCTGTTCTGTAAATTTGCATATCACAGCGTTTTTGAACCGATGTCCCTTATGATCTGTTCTAATGTTCATTCCACTTAATCACAGCTTCTCTGGAGTATCAGAAGCCCTCACACTGCTCTGCTGAACATGTCTGTTTGGTGTAAAGCAGTATTCCGGACCCCCCTATCCTCCACACTCTGTCCTCCAACCTCTCAGAACAGACTGCCCTCACAAGAACCTGCAAATCAAAGAGCAGCCAGCAGCTAGCACAGCAATGGCATTCCAAACATAGCTCTGCTGCTCAGAGGGAAAAAAAACAGTATTTACAGTCAACAGGTCCCATTTACTAGAACAGCTATCTATATATATATAGATTATAGAAACACAGCGGCCTTCAGAAAGTCTATGCACAGTTCATTAAGCATCTCTAAACCAGTGCAAGACTGGTGCCTGAATATTTAGGTTAATACCCGGTATCTGGATTAACAGCAGCCAACAGCACTTGATAAACCTGCTATGTGTACTACTAGGTCGAATAATGTTAATCTTTAGGGAACACTAAAGTGGCATACAAATTAGCTTTTGAACAGTTTAGCTATTAAAACATTTACAAGTTTTTGAACACGGTACATTTACGCTAAAAGCATGCCATCTTCCAGTTGGGTGAAACTTTTAAAATAAATTCTTCTAAAAGCCTCTTGGTTTGGATGCATGATTCAGTGAAAGAGACTGAATTGGTATAGAACCTTTACATTATCTAGAGGCTCTTTAAACTTGAAAAAGATTCTTCTTACTTACACATTTCTTTAACTGCAATGGATTGAAGAACCATGGATTGAAAGCTTCTTTAGGGACCCAGCTGACAATATTCCAAAGAAATATTTTGACACCACCTTTATTTGTAAGAGTACTGCTAAATTCACATTAGCTTTTACAGACATTTCATGCTAAAACAGATGCTAAACATCTAAAACTGAATTAACGGTATTATGCATCAGAATGATCAAAGATCGCAAAATCAGAAGTTCTTCTAAGAAATGTGCTTAAACCAAAGGGTATGTCTTTACTGCCATTCTGACATCAAGTACACACTTGTGGTCATGGGATGGAAAAAAAGTGTGACCGAAAAGGAAATTCTAAATAAAATTAGCTGCGCTGAACCAGTTTGGGGCTGCACAGGTCTTTGCAACGTGCTTCATTTTCAGTGTCATTCACTGCATAATAGAATTTATTGGAAATTCAATTTAAAGCAGGGCTGTGACCGCTGCTGCTTAGTCTTATGGAATGCAGTGGGTGGGTTTGTATGAGCCTGGTGCGTCTGTGAAAACTGGCATGGGAATGCAGTGCCTGTAGCACAATTTCAGGCCTCCAACTCAGACTCAGAATTTACTTGTGTAGTCTACGGAGAAACCTCAAGCTGATTATTAACAACTGGGACAGCTTAGATTACTTTGCCATCAAGAAATAAGTTACATAACGACAACAAATAGGTTGGGATGTCATCAAATGTAAAACCATCTAGGCAGTAAACCAATAGCAGCAAAACACCATAAGGTCAAACAATTAAAAGCTCTAGTGCAACTTCATAGTATGTAGATGCTGCCAACTAAAATTCCCCCTCATATTTACAGAATGCAACATACGCTAAATTAATGAAAGAACACCTTTAAAATAACTTCAGAGTCACATAAATTGGCTTACAATACAATAGTCTTTAATTATATTTCATTACATTTTCAATATTAGAGCAGTTTCTGATATTTTATTGTTTCTACACCAGTATATCAGTGAAAGGTCATGTTTCCAGAAGCAAACTATATTTTAAAGGCATTTATAAGCATAAAATTAATCATGCATATTTTAAGACACAATACACTGTCATACATTATGGCATGTTCACCTCATTAATGACAACAGTCAAGTCTCTGTTATGATGTATATGTGATGTCTTGACATTTATGATGCACATTTAAGCTACAGTTTCTGTAATGTAGTGTCAACAAAATTTCACTGTCAGGAGCTGGCAGCCGTGGCTCACCGGGGTTCCACATCAGAAACAAGTAAGTGTTCTACTCTAATGTCCCTGCCAGTCCTCCAATCACTGCAGCTACACAAGGCACCAGGCCTCAAGTTGCTCCACTGGGCCCCTGATTCTCCCTAACCCTTAGCCCAGTCTGGGGCCTAGAATAAGTTTGTTCAATGGCCCTTTTGTAACCAAAGTAACCTGTAAGTCATGTTCACTACAGTATGCCATGAAAGGACGATTAAGGACACTGTGCTTCTGACCATCATTCACCAACCGTCCACAAGAAGAAATTTTAAAATAAAACCCACTTATGCAGTTTTCACAAAGATTCTGATATTCATCAGTGTTATTTGGGATTTGCTCTTAGGTAAAAACAGAATCAGTGCACACTCAAGAGCACAAAATGCAAACAATTCTGCGGTTTAAGAACACGTCATGAATGTAATGTAGACTTTTTCCTAGGACCTTCTCTAAAACAAATTTAAGAAAAAACGATATAGGTGAACAAGGCCTACTGCGTTTTCCCAAAACTGACACATTTAAGTTAAAAGAGAATGTGCCCATACTAGAAACACTGACCTCCCATGGAAATGAAGTAAGGTTAAAAAAAAACCTTTTTGTAAAATGTTGCTCTGAACAAAACATCTGAAGAAATTAGGCATGATAAAAACCTTTCAATTATATAATCCGACTACCCTGTAATAGAATACTCTAACTCTGCTGTTCACTACAAACCAATCAATTCTTTTTTAAGCTTTTGATCACTGAGAGCCCCATATCTCATTCTGGACCATCTAAAACCAAAGATAAACCAAAGATCTCATGCATGAAAGACAGTCCTTGAAGACAGTGAGGTGATTTGTGGGTGGGAATGTCAGGCAGGGCTGACTTGAGACTCAGAGGGACCTCTCTCACTGAGGTCGATGTCCAGCTCAGTGTTGACCCTGGCTAGCCCTTTCACTTGACGTGGGGGTGTAGGGGGAGGGTGGGAGGGTGATTGGAGGATGTCTGCGTACCTCTGGCTAGGTTTGGTCTCCCGCTGGAGAACTTTACTCAGCAGAGGTTTCAGGAGCCCGATGGTAAGCTGGCTGCCATTGGAATGCCCCTGGAATGGCCCTGATGATTGTGTGGTGGAGGGAAGGTTTTTCAGCACAATGTTCAGTATTCCAGTAACAGTCATGTCCTCTGGGCAAAGGGTCCACAGTAAGTCCAGGTAGGGGTCCAAGTCTCTATGCTGGGCCACCTCACACAGCAGGGTGGTGAAAATCTCTTTTTTGAGAAGTGGGCTTTGGCGGCAGAACCTCTCTGCCACCTGCGTAACACGATCCCACCGTCCTAGCCCCATGAGGATGCGGAGGGCTTGCATTACTGCATTAGGCCGCTGACTACACAAGAGTAGCTCCACTTCCAGGTCTTGGCAGGCACCTTTGCAAGGGAGGACAGCAAGGGCCCGCTTATATAAAGGAAGGCTCTCTGAGCTTTCCTTTACTCCATAACTCCAGGAAGAGGTGGAGGAGGCACCAGACTGCTGCTGTGCCAGCTCCAGAAACCTGGGAAGCCAGCTGGGCTGGAATTTGAAGATAGACTGACACAGCAGCTCAAAGACAGGCAGTGAAACATTGGCTGGGACATGCTTCTGCTGACCATTGCAGTGGTTAAAGTTAGCTGTTGTTTGGACAGGGCTAAGCACAATCTTCCATAATTCAGCAGGAGCCTTGCTAGATAGTGAGCCCTCACCATTACATCTGAGCTGAAGGATAGCCTGTATGGCTTGCCAAGTCTCAGTGGGGAACAGGTTGAAGATACTATTCAGGTACTGAAGGTTTTCCCTATCTATCTCTGAGCTGAGTAGTCTAGAGACTTCCTGCTGAACCAGGGTCTCACAGTAATTCTCTATATCCTTCTCTGAGGCCTTCACCACTGCTGTTTTAATGTCTTCCAGGGTAACAAGACTCTTGAGTTCAGAGTCAAGGGAGCTTAACAGTTTCTCATGTCCTGAAGAATCTTTCCCTGCAGTTTTCATCTTCTGGTTGCTCAAGTAATCCCTGATGATGGCTGCCAGTGAGATAGGTGCCTGAAACATCCCGCCCTTCTTGAGTTTCTCAGCTGTTAGCTGTGTGGTGCTAAGACTTCGCTGTTGGTAATATTTACATGCCTCCTCAAACACAGCCTCAGCCAAGACTGCACTTGGGTTGATATTCTCTGTATGAGATACTGATGGCTTGAGTTTAGCTTCTACCTCCCTCTGGATGACCATAAATAACCCAGCTTCTGAGAGCATCTGTAGGGAACGACTCTCCAAACAGTTCACAAAGAGGAGGCCCTCCCTTTTTAGAGTGATCCTCTCCAACTCCAGACCACACTTAGCGTCAATCAAGTACATCATCTTGCCTACTGTTAATGCAAGGATATCGTGGTAAAGGTTTAGACTGTTTTGTATCCCACAGGCAGCAAGGCAATTGTCAGGCAGTTTATAAATCTGCCGGAGAATGCCATCTCTCTGCATTACGCAAACCCATCCAGAGCTGAGGAGGAGCAGGAGATCTCCACATCCAGCAGGACAAAAACCACAGATATCAGGAGGATTGGTGGTGGAGAGAATTCCGATGCAGTCAGTGACCAGTCTCTTAAAGTCAGACTCCTTATTTGCTGTGGAATTTCTGACAAGGAGAGTTCCCATACTGACACTGTGGACCTTGAAGATGTCATTCTGAGGGGACCATGTTAAAAACACTTTTGAAACAGTGATGAGTGGATGCTCTTTTATGTCCGGTAACAAATATACAATATCCCCAGAACTGACAATCAGATAAGGAGGATTATTGTGCAGTGCAATTTTCACACCCCCCAAACAGACACCCACCTCATCTACTTCAAAAGTCCTTTTACAGATGCAGAATCTGAAGTTATTGCGAGACACGCTGGAGACTGCAGAGCTTTCTGAGGGGGGTCTCTCCTCACACCAGATGATAAAATTCTGACTGATGCTGACAGAAACGATTTTTGCTCTGGGGCTGTTGCACAGATCCGAGGTTTGTAGTAGATTCCACCCAGATTTCCGCTCAGAGAATTTCCAGAACTCCACTTTGCCATTCTCAAATATTACCCCGAGCAGAGTGGCACCATCTTCTGCGTTGCTTTGGTCGAAATAAATTAGGTCAACTATTGGAACATTCCGTGTCAGTACTAAATCGAGATGCTTCTGGCATTGTACAAGATGGGCTCTTTGATATTTGTCATATGTCATAAGACCACTTTTCGGTGTGTGGAGGATAACGTGAATGTGTCGCCCATCTGGACTAACTCGAACGTTCGACAAGCGGTTTTTGGAGGAGGTGTTAGAATAAGACTGTTTTAAAAACTCTTTCAGATCTTTACCTCTTGTAAAATCCCCGAAATCTGTCACCTGTTCCAGAGCATGTCGTGTCATATTAGCTGAAGGTGAGGAAATCCAGACTAGGAAGCAAACCGAGCGGTAAGCGGTCGGTGACAGATCCTCAGATCCTCTGTCTTTCAGTTCACCGCATTGTCAGCCCACGGCTTTCTGACACCTCTGCCTTTCGTCGTTTTTAACGCTCCCATTATAGTTACAGATGTCGTTGTGTTCAGAAAATCCTTTCCAAAAGGCCTGGCTTTTCATATACTCCACAGCTCATCTTCTCTCTGCCTCGCCTCCTGCCATCACGAGTTTACTAATTTCCGGAAACTATGCGGACTGTTTTTTTCCCCTCTGTGGGAGGAGTCGAAAAGAGGGTGCATTCCCTCGATCTACATATCATACACACTCATGATTTTCACACATTATAAAATACAGATCAGCGAACCCAGACAGACAGACGTAAATTCCGCTACTCAAGCCCAGCCACTGTAGTGGCAATTTCGCTCAGTAATTTCATGTAGTATAACTTACGCGACGTCAACCTTCACAGCCTATCAATAATAAACTGACATTTATAATTGACATGAGCAGTAGCCATTCTTATGTTATATTTCCATATAACCGCTAACTACCAGAGAAATCATATAAATCTTATAGAAACACTCTGTAATGAAAATGCCCAAACGAATCCCCTGAGACACAAACTCCGGAGTGACTTGAACGCTGCACAAAAACCCGGAAAGAAAGCGACTTCCTTGTTTATTTTCGCGCGAAGCGAGTACAAACACAGTGCTCTGGAGTCGGATTTTGTAAGTATCATTAACTGCTGTGTATTTCGATACAGGATGCTTTCTACTATCTATCTATGAAATAATTTTGTTTACACTGCTAACGAAGCTATTTTGTCAAAATAAAAGTAGTGCTAGCTAAATAATAACCACGGACTTTCGGCTCACAGAAACAGATAGCGTTAAAGTAGTTAAGCTAACTTAGCACGTGAGTTACCTAGGATTTCTATTTCTGCAGAAACTTACACGTTTTACTGTAACTGAACGTCTTTACATAAGCGTCCCAATAATGCCAATAAAAGCCAAATTTTATAAAAGCTTACACCCAGTTAACGTACACAGCATTGTTGCAGTTGTTAGCTTGTTAGCTAGTGTTATTTAAAATAACAAGACAAGTTGACTGTCGTTTTGCCTGTTTTCCCTGACACCGTTTTTCAGTTTATTAGCTACGTTATTTAGCATTCATCTTTTGTATCATTTGTCGTGTTTTTGATTGTACCGTATTTTATGTAAACCCCACAGGCAAGATAATGAACAAAAATGCTAAAAATTGTCGACATAAATTTCTAACGTTATAGCCACAATCATATTAAACTGTCTGTCCCTACCAGCTATCACATCCTCTGTCATAACTAGCGAATATGTTGGGTACAGAGGTAGATAGTACAGCAGTGGTTTTCAGCCCTTGTCTTTGATTCCCACTACTCTGCATATTCTAATGTTTCCGTGCTCCCACCACACCTGAGCTAAGTAATCAGCATATTAACAAGCATTTTTTGTGGTAAAGTGGGCGTATTAGAGCAATTCGGTATATATGGCCCCTGGTACAAACTAACTGGATTTCAAAGATGTGCTGTATAATTATTTTTGCGTTCATTAAAGCGGTTGGAGAGTCTGGCAGAGCCATAATCTGGATCAGACCCACTACCACCCTTTAAAAGAGGGCAGTGTCGGAAATGTCAGATTCAAGGCGGAGGGTTAGCAGAGGGAGCCAGGAGGAGTCTGCCTCACATGCCAATGGAATGGGAGGCCGCAGTAGGCCAGACAGAGCAGCAGACACTGGTGATGAGGATGATGGTGCAGGTCCATCAGGGATCCACGAGGAAGATGATGACCCGGCCCGTCGGAGGGAAATCAGAAGCCAGTACAGGGATCTCATCAACTCTGTTCAGCGTGAGTTTGAGCACTTGATTCTCCTCATAGCTGTACTTTATCAGTGTTATCTTGCAGTTACTGTTTTGGAAAGGTCATCTGTACTAATATACCCTTTGTATTGTTGTTCACAGAAAATCGTGAGGATATGCTGAACCCAGCCAACAATAAGCTCATTGATGTGTTAGAGGAAGCAAACAAACTGTTTGCCAATGGTAATATATGCAGTTTTTATATTGACCAACAATAATCTCTTCTGTCCTTCACCGTATACATATTCTGGAAGGGTGTAATGACATAATTGACTCTTGTGTGAATGTATCTGTCAGTAAATGTGTGTGCCCCAGATAGGTCGTGATGTTCATGTTTCCTTGTAGTCAGGCAGGCTCGGGAAGCTGCTTTGGATGCTCAACTGCTGGTCCTGGCCACAGACCTAGGGAGAGAAAAGGCCAGCCAGCTCCATGCAGAGGGCTCATCTTTTGACCCTTCTGCATTTGCAGAACATTTGGTGAGTTGCTGCAAGTAAGGATGCTAGAAAGATGTGCATGATGATTTTCTGAACAGATGTTGAGAAGCAACAGTGTAGGGTCTTTTTGCAGCATTAATAAACCCTCTACCATTTTTTTTACATTTTTTGGCCAAACCAGTTGTCCTTCATGGGTCTCAATCGTTTAGAAGAAGAGGAGGATGATCAGGAAGGCTGCTTGGGTGGGTATTTGCCTCCAGATGCTTGGCAGAGACTTTCCAAAAGAGCAGAAAATTGCTTCAGAACAGCCCCCTCATTCCACTACATGTAAGTATGCCAACTACACATGACTTGGACAGACGTCAGACTCCAATTTCCAATTTATTTTTGTTTTACTGCTATCTTAGTTGTCTATTTGTAATTTGAGGCTGGGCTCATTTCTGGCTGAACCTCCACCACCACGTCAGCGTGTTGAGAGACAAAGGAAAGCTCCCAGCAAAGAAGCTAAACGAATGATGCCTACTCAGGTCTGAATCAACTATTTTCATGTTTTTCATTACATTGTTTGTTTTTTATCTTGTAGATTAGATATATTGATTAGATATATTTTGCATTTATTTTCCATCACAGCTAAAGAAAATGGAAGAATCACATCAGGAAGCTACAGAGAAAGAGGTGGAGAGGATTCTGGGGTGCCTTCAGGGATACTACAGTGATGACCGTTAGTACTAGAATTATTCATGGTTAATTGCTAGCAGTAATAGTTAGGCAGTTCTTTAATTCTGAACCAGCTGTCAGTATGTTTTTTGGAACTATACATTTCAAGTTGTGCTTTCTCTTAAAATATTTTCCACAGCACAGTCTCCTATATCTTATTATGAGTTTGTTGTTGATCCCACCTCCTTCTCCCGAACGGTGGAGAATATTTTCCACACATCGTTTCTTATCAGGGTGAGTTTCTTGCCTTAATATCAGACTCTTACATGTCTGGCTTGATACCAAATGTATGAGTTAGAATTCCTTCACATTGTGAAATTCAGATTTCTATATTATAATGAAAAATCTAGTCTGTACCATTTAGTATATTCTCTGGCCCAAGGGTTTCCAATCCCAGTTCTGGGTACCCCACACTGCACATTTTGTCCTATCCCTCATTAAGCACACACAATTCAGTTCATTAAAAAATAAATAAGTTCTGGGTCATGTTTGTACATTGGGGGGGGGAAATAAAAATGTGCAGATCATGGGTTGCCAGGACTGAGTTTGGGATCCCTTGTCGTACTCTAGAATTCTAGAGATGTACCAGTCATGAATTTTTAATATTAGATTCTCATTTCTTTACAGCCAAATTCTCTGATGGCCAGTTTTTATTATCTTTTTTAGAAATCCAGATGCTCACATTCTGTGTACTAAAACAAACCCATGAAACACACTTGCACATTTCCAGTACTTTCCATTAGCCAAAGTCACAACATAAGTAAGATTCATTTATTTAATGGGCCAAACTTGCATTTTAAACTCGTAAAAAACAAAACAAAACAAAAAACAGGTCAATAATAAATTGGGTGATCACTGATTGAGCAAAAATCTGCCCATTCAGGTCTTTGGCAATTCTGATCCAGCATCCTTACCTAATTCAAGTCTTCTCCTATCTTTCATGAATTGAATCAGGTGTCTTACTTCACACTAAACAGGAGGGGTACCGTAGGACCCAAAATGGGGTCTACATCAACCACATTGCTATTAAAATACCTAAAAAAAAATTGCAGCTAGTGTGAACATGGACATAGCTTTTAAAATTTTGGTTTTAATGGAAGTAATGCAAGAGACTGAACTATCTGTCTTTAGGACTCAAAATATCCAACATTTAAAACAAAATCTAACCCAGGGTTGCTGCTGCAGTGAGGTACATGCTTATATTAAGTTGATGTTGTTGTGTTTTTTATTTTTTTATTATTATTTTTTTTTTACTCCAAAGTTGTTTTGATTTTGGTACATAAATTATTTTGTCTCTTTGGTGTTGCAGGATGGCCTGGCAAGGATTTATCTGGATGAGTCAAAGCTTCCTTGCATAGGTAAGGTTGTGTTGTAATGTGAAATTTTTTTTTAGAGTTCCTTTGAGAAAATACAGTTTGTGAGTGCTGTTTAATTGAGTTTCTTCCCTGTTGTCTAATTCAGCTGAAAGATGCATGCCTGCTTTTTAAAGAGGAATTTCTCGTTTTTGCAGCGAGTTTGGTTTTAACTAGGGATGTATTGATACTGATATGAGTGCCAGGTTGTTTCCAATAACATGCTCATGTACTCATAAAAATTCACTGATACCAATATTCCGATACCAGCTGATATCGTGTGACATAAGCCGAGTTCACGCTGCCATGCTAATGAGCAAATGCAGTAAACAAGGCTCTGCTTGCACAGTGAAGTGTTCAGTGACTCCGTGGAGGTCGGACACAAAGTTGTTGATCACTTTAAGCATTCTGCCTCGGAGACATGTAGGCCAGCTAAATGAAGGTGAAAAATCAACGTTTGCAACCATAGTCTGTATATATTGACTTGACTCTGCCTGGACGGATAGAGCGTATAAACGGTGAAGTATAAACGTTAATACAGTGAATTATTAATTTTTTTTTTTTTTGGGGGGGTAAAATAGACTGTAGAGAGATGTTAGAGGCACATTAGCAGCGCTGTCATAGCTTACCACATGAGTATATAAACCGTAGGCTTTGTCTGTATGAGGTGGTCTATTCAAACATACAATGAAAGTCATCAAAGAGCAAGATTTCGAAAATCGCACATTGAAGATCTGGCTTCAGAGGATATACAACTATAGCTCAACCAGCCAAACAAAAAATTTTGAGAAGATGTAAAACTCCACAAATAAGCCTCAGATGTGATTTTTGTTGTCACTGTGCTACAGAGACTGTTGTTGAAAAAGGTGAGGAGCAAAACTATGAATTGTACTTTACTTAAGCTGTACAGAAGCGCTTTTTTTGCATTGCAATGCTACTCATTCCAAGATAACTAATGTAGCATAGCATAGCTAATGCACTTTGTTTGAAATCAGCTAGATTTTAATTGTTAAGTTACACTGCACACATTTACACTAACAACTACTTCATTCTAAGTAGGTTATTTGTTGTGGTATCAGACTTTGTTCCTAGTCTGAAAAAATGGTATCAGTGCATCCCTAGTGTTAACTTTCCTGTATTCACTTTTTGACAGCACTGTGTGTGTTTGTGTGTGTGTGTGTGTGTGTGTGTCTTACAGCTCCAGTCGAAGAGGGTGAGGTGGAGCCTGGTGGAGCCGCCACCCGTCACCAGTGTGTCATTTCAATCAGCCCTGCCAGCTGGAGGGTAAGCTTCTAGTATTGCACATGCATATAAACAGTATTATCCAGCATTATCCATCTCAGACCACACCATTCCCTGAAGCTCTCGGATCAGTTGGAATATACGCAGTAATAATCGTTTATTGTTTACACTGATTGTAGCTAATTATTTTATTGTAATTGGATGCTGATATATGCATATGAGCCACAGCAGGAGGAATTGTTATTTTGCTTAAGCTCTACACACGGCCTATTCTGTGCTACCCCAGCCATCAAAGTTAACTGTCCACTCTCCTCATCAAACCCCTCTATTCACTGGTACAACTATTCGTTGAAGCTGCTTGTCTTTAATATTTATTTTCGCTTTGCAGGAGATCATTGAAGTGTTTGAAATTAAAGAGGCTTTGATTCCCACCCCGAAAACATTGACGCAAGAAAACTGATGAGACGACAATTGTTCCTAATGTTCTGTTTTAATTACTTCACTTTTAAGTAAAGGATTTTATTTTTTGTTAATATTTTTATGTGTATACAATACATGTAAAATGTACAGAGCCAAAGAGTATGTTACGGTAGTGGTATTGTAAAATAAAGGTTGCAAAGTATTTAAACCACAGTCATGATGATTGTTTTATTGTGCGGATGTACAGACCCAATTCCAAAAAAGTTGGGACAGTATACAAAATACAAATAAAAAAAAAGTGATTTTGTAAATCCACTATGCCATGTCTTTAAATGAAAGCAGTACAAAGACAAGATATTTAATATTTTATCCTATCAGACTCATTGTTTTTTTGTTTTCTAATATATGCTCATTTTGAAATTGAGGCCTTTAACACATTGCAAAAAAGTTGGCATGGGGCAGTAGAAGACTAGGAACATTGTTAAATGTTCAGAAAACATTTTAAAAGAGGTGAAATAATTGTGGTTAAGTGTTAAAGAAGCATCCAGCAAAGGCCTAGTTCAATGCCATAAAATGCATCAGCATTTAGACCAACTGGACCATCAGCAAATAGACCAACTGTTAAAGAACAATGTTCCTCACTGAGCGAATACTTAGAATTACTTTTACTCTAGGAATATTTTACCAAGAGTAATTCTGTTTTTACTCAAGTACATACATTGTATCCTGTCCACTCCTCATTGTTACAATGAACTGTTTTTGGTACATAATCCCACACAAACTTCACAATAGTGAAAAAAATACAAGGAAACTATAGAATATCAGCCTTGTAATCTAGATGTTGTGAGTGAGGTGCCCCAAAATGTCTATGTAGCAAAACACAGAACATGCCTATATGCAAGATCTGCCTAATAACCCCACTTATTACTATATTCTCTACATAAATGTAGGCCTGCTGCAGAAAGAAAAGTGTTTCTAGAGTAGGCCACAGATTTGCACAGACAAGTGACAGAGAGGGTGTGGTGGAAAAAGGAAAACACTCCAAACTGCTAAGTTATGCCGCTTCTGGACACTCTGCTTCCAAGTTCAAATCTGTTGAGTTTTCTGAACAAAAGCTACAGGAGCTAGCGGCCAGTAAACTACCCTCAAAAACAAAAAAAAACAGGCGATTCAGGCTTTAGAATAGCAAAGCTTTATTGCCAAAACAAGCATGAGTCCTGAACACAATAGTGTAATTCCCTGCATTAACACACTCAACTCAGGAAGTGAATGTTAAATAACTGATTACTGAATAGCACAATATTTTGGCCTCCAAAGAGCCCCTTTATAAGAGAAAGTTTTATGGAATGGCTAAATGCCGCCATCTAATGGAGAAGAAACATCTCATGCTAGTAGCCTATATAAAATCTCCCTGTTGTCGATTGTGTATCATTTTTAAGAGTTTTGCTTATCTTGCTCTTTGAGCACTTTTTATGGCACTATAAAATAGTTATGTAAACAAAGTAAATCAGAGTGATTTGATGTGAAATGATGCATTTTACAGGCAGCATATTCATAACCAATTTCTGTACATGAAACTTTCTGTGAGCTGTAGCTTTTAGAAGAATTTCTAACAAAATCTCTGAATGACTTTGTTGATTAATAAAGAACCTTTGAAAAGTCGGTGGTATTCCCCTTTAAGTCCTGGTGGAAACTTGAAAAGACAGCAGAAAGGTGAGGCCTTTGGTCTTTGCGAGCAACTTTAAACCTAGATAATCTATAAGAACCACTGGCTGCAGCGCTTGGAAGTTTCCCTCAAGGGCTAGAATGTTTGGTGCCAAATCACAAAGTACATTTGATACTGCTTTCTAGACATACAGTTTGACATGGAACAGTGGGACAACTGCAACACATTAGATGCGGTATAAGCATCTTGACCACTTTGTTTTAGACTCCATATTAGCTAAATACCCAGTTTTTTATTTCAAAGCTGCTTTGAACACTATGAATTGTGGCAGCTGTAGCTTAGCCTAGGGTAGAGTATATTAGCAGTCTGTATAATGATAGGTTATTTCTGACATACTGACTTGTCTGAAATGACTGGTTTGGGCAAACTGCATAAGGCAGACAGACTCAGTGTCATATGCTGCACCGTATGTTTAGTTGTTTTTTTGTACTGCAAAGAGTGCATGTTTACAGAGTGCTTTAAAAATATGTATAAAGAAAATGAAAAATATAATTGTCAGTAAAAAAAAAAAAGAAAAGAAGAAAGTAAACAATCATCAACAGTATTTGTAAAGAAGTGTTTTTTGTAGCTGTCTTCATGCAGTATTATTTTCAACCCAAAAAACACAGACCTCTGTTTGTGATATTTCTTTATAATGTTGAGATAAACAGTCATTCAAAGTGTTTTAGTGTGAAATGATTCATTTGTAGAAACCTACAGACTCTGATTTCTTTACAGTGGTGGTGATAGGAACCAGAGATTGATTTGTCCAGTGCTAATATAGCCTTTTTTACTATCCACTGACTAGTTTTTGTATGTAATGTTGATAATGTTAAAATACTGGTAATTCTGAAAAAAACATGTTGCCTTTTTGGGAACTCTTTTGCCTTATAACACCCTGTGTGTATCAATGAATGTCGTTAAAAATATATATTTTAGGCCAAAATCTTCTCAATGTTATAGTAAAACAGTGTCTCAGGCAGTAGGCAGCATATTTCTTCTGTGAGCTTATTAAATGCTTGAAAATTCTGGTTACTTTGTCTAGAAAGGTGCTTTTCACATCAAACCATTCTGAATGACATTGTTTAAATCTTAATGATTGAATTAGTGGATATTAATGGCAAAACCCATAAAAGTGGGTTAAGCTTAGCGCCCCAGGTCACAGCATATCTGCAATGTTGGTGCAGTTCTGTAGTATGACAAATTGTCTGAGATATTCTCTTGCCCCATTTCGGTTGAGTGGGCAGTTCTTAGTTTTTTCTGTCTGTGCTTTTCATATGCTGGTCAGTACAGCATCATCCAGCCTACGGCTGTGGCCCCTTTAAAACCGCAGATGTGCTCTCGCTCTCTGTACTTTCACCTCTTCTTATCTCTCTCTCTCTCTGCTTCTCTCACTGTTGCACCCCCTCCTCTCCCTTCTCATGCTTGTCAGTGTTTCTGTGGGTAACAGAGGGGCTTTTTTACCCATGCTGCAATCCACTACATCTCTGAGGGATGGAGGGGAGGAGAGCAAAACCCACCTTTCACTTTGATTTCTTCAACTGTTCTATTTATATCATAACATTCTTATATAATAGAGCATGAAGATGTATGTCGCAGATGTACCCCGAGCATTGCTGTAGATGAGGCTTATTAGTCACACACAGCCTCACAGGCTTGCACACTCAGAGACACACACACACATAGACTAGCGTATTCTCACACACTTGCACTCACTTGCTCACATGCATCCTAGCCAGCTCTGCAATGCCATGTCTCTGTAGTGGCGATGCAGTTCTGCAGAGACTATTTCTGCAAGCCTTGTAGCGCTGCTGTTACGTCTCCTCAGGAGGACATGGAATACAGGATGGGGAGCTGCATCGGAGTCGCACGCAACCAGGTAACAAGACTGCAACAAACAACAGATGGAATGACATAGAGAGAAACACTGAGACATGCCTGGCTGTTGATGGAATATTGGTGGTTGCTTGGCGATTGTGCCTGTGCGAGGCAGGGGTGGGGGATGCATTTGTACTGAAGTAGGCTGACGTCAGGAGGAGAAAGAAGGAGGAGAAGAGAGGAGAGGGGCAATCAATTAGGACTGCCACAGCCAGCATTGGCCTCTAGCAGCTTCAGCTACATTGATGGAGAAAGCAGCAGCAGGAGGAGCGGGACAGAGAGAAAAAGGAAAGGGGGAGGGGCAGAGCAAAGCATGTAGAGCGTGAGATGTTGAGAGAGCAATGGAAATGGATGGATCACTGCAAAACGGATGTCTTGGCATATAAAATGATCTTAAATCAAGCCACTATATCAATATTCATGCACAATTTTCTGCCAGTGGCACTCCCATAGATAACCACTTAAAGCAACATCTACAAATAGGTGGAATAATTGTATAATATTCATACAAGCTCATATTGATATGTTACCTAAAGATCATTTTACTTGCCAAGATATTCCTTTTGCAGTGAGGAAAGGCAGCTTGCATGATGGCACATCACTGTCTATGAAGGGTTTCTGTATATTGTTATAGGGGGGATATATGTCTAAAAGTATCCAGGCACTTCTTTATAGTGAATTCTAATTAGTGAATTCAGCTACTTTAAAGTTCACCCATTGTTGACACAGGTGTGCAATTGTGCACATATGGCTTGTATAATTACCATAGAAAAGCACTGCCAATGTTCTGATAGCAGTCCAATACAGCAGGTACACTATTATGTCCAAAAGTTTGTAGACACCTGCTCGTCCAGCGTTTCTTCCAAAATCAAAGGTATTAAAAGGACGTTTGCCAATGTTTTTGTTACATTACTCTTCTAGGAAGGCTTTGCACAGTGTTGGGAAGTTGCAGTGAGCATTTTAATGGGACGCTTGGCATTGGATATGGTGTTGTTAGACATATGTGCAACAGCACCATGTCCAATGGCAAGCATTGGCTATAGGGTTATAATGCCCCCCAGCACAGGTCTGCATAAGAGAACCGCATCCTCATGAGTGATAAAGCACCATTGAATACCTTTGGGATGAGCTGGAGTGGCGCTAATCATCCAACACCAGTACCTGACTCAGAATGTTGCAATATTGCCAGAAGAGCACTTTACAAAAGAAAGGCATACTTCCTCTTAATTTCCTTTATTTCAGAAGAAAAGCTGGACAAGCAGGCATCTATAAACTTTTAGACATAATAATGTACCTGTCAGATTGCACTGCTGTCAGAATATAAGCAGTTGGCTAAGCAACATGATTAAGTTATACATAGAGGTTACAAGTGCTTTGGACCACCTCATAGGGATGGCCAACGTCACTGATTTTCTTTGTAATCTGATACCAAGTAATGCCAAGGCTAATATCTCAACACAAAAAGGGGACATTTATGACAGTGAAAACATGGTATATATTTAATCACAATAATGATTATACCATTTAATATTTGTCATCATTATAAATATAGCAAGAAGAATGATAAAAGTTGCTAAGTTAAGTTGTTGTGCCTAACTTTGTTTGTGGACAAGTTTGGCTTTTAT